CTATCTGTGGGATCTGCCTGCCTCTGACTAGGGAATAGTAATTTGTGTTTTCTCTTTTCTTTTTCAAGCTCTTTGGAGAAAAGAGCTTGGGGTTCCCTGGGGTTGGTTTCAAGTGTCCACCCCTGTCTGTGGTTCCAAAAGCACTTGATGGTGGCAGTGGATTTTTTATCCCCAAATCTAGGTTTTTAGGATTTTGGGGGGAAGTTTTATACCAAAGCCTGGAGAGATACAGTTTTGGGGTACTTTTGCGGACCCCCACTTCTGCATTTATCATGGCCTGCAGTCACATCCTCCGTCAGCTACGCGCCCTTTGGCTCTCACACGTTCAGCCTGGTGAGTTGAGTACTGGGATGAGAGAGCTCAAAGGAAGACACGCCAATGTGGCAGGTCAGTAGAGGGCGGCGGATGCTTTGAGGCTGCTGGCCATTTTGGGTTCCTTTGCATTCCTCCTAATAATTGAGATTTGGAGGAATCCCGGCCAGATTCTAGTTTTGGTAACTGTTCTGCCTCCCTAAAATTCATCTTCCCAGTTGCAAGTGGTGGACTGTACTGGCGCTCCAGCGTCTCTGTCTCCCGCAGAAGCAGCGAGGTGAGGGTGGTGAGTGGAACTGAACAGAGTAAAAGAGAGTTTGAAAAGCCTCTTAAAACCCACTGGAATGAAAGGTGCCATATAAATGAGTTATGAGTTATAATAAATCCTGTTGTAATCGTTACATTAAACAAAAATGGACAAACCTGAACCATTTAATTTAAAATAAAATCCTGGCAGTGCAGCATTTAAAAAAAATTGATTTAGTCTCATGGCAGAAACTGCACATCTCTGGCGGAGGCAATAAGAAAAGCTATAAAACTAGAGTTTATTTGTTTATGATCCAATTCCTTGGCACCTCCTGTGTTTTTAAAAATGCAACCAATGAAATGTCAGCTGTTTATTTACAAGCCCTGCTCAGTTTCTTGAAGTAGATGTTCTGAAGCCATTTTTCAAACTGGTTGGGGTTGGGAAATAACCGATAAAAATTAAATAATGTTTAGCTCAACGCATACTCCGAATTTGTAAAGGTTTGACAGCTTCTGTTAATGCTGTAATAAATTTACTGACTTGAGTGAGACGCTTTAATACTTTGATAAATTCACAGTTGATGCATTTGTTCTTGGATATTAGGGATCAAAGCCAGATGTCTGGTGTCAGAATAAATTTCTATTCATTTTTCCTTGGGTTTTATTTAGTAGAGACTAAGGGGGTTGAGATGATAGAGGTTTATAAAATCATGACTGGTGTGGAAAAAGTGAATAAGGAAAAGTTATTTACTTATACCCACAATATAAGAACTAGGGGTCACCAAATGAAATGAATAGACAGCAGGTTTAAAACAAGCAAAAGGAAGTTTTTCTTCATTCACTGCTGTCAGCCTGTGGAACTCCTTGCCAGAGGATGTGGTGAAGACTAGGACTTTAACAGGGTTCAAAAAAGAGCTAGATACATTCATGGCAGTTAGGTCCATCAATGGCAATTAGCCAAGATGGGTAGGAATGGTGTCCCTGGCCTCTGTTTGTCTGGTAATGGGTGATAGGAGAGGGATTACATGCTGATAACCTGTTGTGTTCCCTGCCTCTGAGGCATCTGGTATTGGCCAATGTCAGCAGATAGGATACTGGGCTGGATGGACCTTTGGTCTGACCCAGTCTGGTCGTTCTTGTGTTCTTCTTGTTCTACATTGTGTCCTGTTAAACATATAGCGCTCAGGTCGTCAGGTAATGCTACTTTTTACAATGATCGTTTCAATTTTTAACTTTCTCGAAATGACCCATCAGAACTCATTGCTAGGGTTAGTTATTAAGATTCACGTACTGATCTGGAATAGTGATGATGTTACAGAGCCCGAAGGCCACATTTGCGAGGGTGTGACTCCAGTAACACACGCCTGTAACCATGGAAACCAATCATGTAACAATGGCACCCTCCTTGGCTAACGGTCGACAGAGCAGGCGCCGGGCACTCAGTAGTAGTGTCGTGGTTACAGCAGCATCCTTTTCTTTATTATCCGTGATCCACTACCCTAAGCCATGCTCTCCACCTTCCGATGTCACACGGCACGTCAGTGTCTTGGCCCACCCCAAATCTTACCGCGCTCTTCTATCACATGTAGTGTCTGTGTGTCTTCCCGTCCGGCATTAAGCAGCATGAATTACATCTCTCACGTGTGGTTTGTTGAATCCCTGCCCTCTCTCTCCACCCCCAACTTGTGGGGAGAATTGTGTGGGGAGGGTTTATTTTGGTGGGGTGTTAGTTTTGGGGAGAAAGGGTGGTTTGCTTTTTTGGGGTTTTTAGAATGAACGTGCTTGGAGCAGAAGGTGTGAGGGGTTGTGGTGGTCCTTAGTTTCTGAGACTGGAAGCTTTTTGGGACCAAGACTGCTTTTTAGTTCTGTTTGTACAGCACCTAGCACAACAGAATCCACGACGGGGGCTCCTGGGTGCTACAGTAATAAATAATAATAATAGAAATGTGCTGCTCAATTGTGGAGTGGCCATTCAAGAACCTCTGTCCCCTGCAGACGTACTTTGCCCTTATGATAGGAAGCTCCCCTGGGCCAAAAAATCACATCCCTATTCCAAAACTTCAGGCTCTTGGAGAACCGCTGGCCCTGGGCCATTGAGCGCCTTTGTAGATAGGGACTTAGACATTGAGCTGGCTCCTTGCCCCCTCTCTAGCAAACACCAACGGGTGTGAGAATCGGCACCAATCACAGTCCTCACTTTGCACAGTCGGTTTTCAGTACGTTTCAAATGGAAAGTCAATCCGTAACAACCAGACTATGGTTCCATTTGCGAAATTTCTGCAGGCGTCTCTGCTCACTGGCCTTGTAATCAGCCCTACCCAGAGCAGAATTGCATGGGCATTCAGATGAGACAAAGCACCTCTCGGCTGAAATTCCATTTGCCGCGTTCCGTTTCATTTTGGATACCACGTAATGTCGAGTTAAACATCGCGATCCACCTGATGCAAAGAAGGTCACAAAGGCTGATCCCGGTAGGAAGTTAAAACCCCCGTTGCTTATGTAGCCTGCAGAGAGGAAATGGTGCTGAGAGACGAGATCCATTGTAACGGTGTTGGTTGTCCGCGTCGTTGTTCTCTGAGGAAGCAGAGAAGAGAGCGATAGGACGTGACATTCAGGAAAGCCCCCTCCAAAGCAGTCTTCAAAATCACGTTTCCAAACATACCAGGCGCCAGCCTGGGAAGAAATCCTGCTGATTGTACCGATCAAAATCACGTTTCCAAACATACCAGGCACCAGTCTGGGAAGAAATCCTGCTGATTGCTTCATACACATTAGCTCTTCATACACATTTGCTCTTTCACCTTCCCCTCCTCTCCAAGAGGCAGGTAATCTCGTTTTGCATTGGTGGTGGTAGTGGTGTTTTTAGTACACTGCAGTGGGCGTACAGGCAGAGAGACGTCTGGGGAGCCTACAACCTAAATTTACGTTGTGTATGGCAGAGGATGCTGATAACGATTGGAGAAAGGACTAAGGTCACAGCAGGGATGAGCCTGAGGTGAGGAGTCCGGCTAGTCCCTGCCTTGCTGTACGCCAGGTCTGGGAGGGCCCGCTAGGCAGAACGGTAGCTGCTTCTGGGAGAAGGCGTGGCAGAATTGATGCCAGGAAAGCGAGGTGCCTGGAGTCCCAGCCGAGTTATGCGGAGATGGGGCCAAATGTCATTGTACCCACTTCCTGCAAGCTACCTGGGGGCCTCGGAGCCGGACGAGGCAGGGGCAGAAGCCGGGGATGTGCATTGCCCAGCGGGGGGGTGCTGATCAGGAGACAGGCACGGTGGGGAGAGGTACTGACTCAACATTCGGTAGGTGTGCAAAGTCACTTAACCACTGCGGGTGTCGTCCTCCAGCCCCACCCCGGACACAGATGCCGGCAGGTAGCAAGCCTGCATGGATCCCTCTTTGGTCGGGCATTGGCCCTTGGCGCTGAGGGGTTTGGTAACCATTTTTAGAACGGCCACAGACCAACGGGCTGAAAGGGGAGCGGGGACGGAAGCAACAGTAGCACAGTCCCTTCTCCACCTCTAGAGGTGACCCTCCCCCTGGCCTCTCCCCTCCTTCTGCTTCTGCCTCCCAACCTGAGGCCTCTCGTCCCACCAGTGATGCACGCAGTGTGGAAATGCACTAGCCTGGTGAAATACATTGCACCTCTGCGGGCTGCTCAGTTGGGATTTCTGGCCTGGTGAGGTATTGCTCCTTGACCTGCCCTTGCGACCCCCTCAGTGGTCGCCTCCCGTCCCAGCCTAGCACTGACCAATACAGTCCCGCACCTGGGCTCTCGCACACCTGCCTCCAGCACAGGAGAATGTTTCCTTCCACCCATGTCCCCTCACACACTCGAGCCAGGATGCCTTCCAGCTCCTGCCCAAACTCATGGCCTCTTCTGGCTGCCTGCCCCATGAAGCCGTTGCCCTTTCGTGAGTAGCTGCGCACCTTCCACGTAAAATCAATCGCAGCAGCAATATCTCCTTATGGACCTCATGGAGTCTCAGCTATTTTCAGGGGCACACAGCTGCTTGGAGTAGGGCTTTTGTGAGAAGGACTGGCGGGTGAAAGGGCCTCTCAGGGATCAGTCTTATCGTGTAAAGGCTTTTTTGAAGGAGGAAGGCTGTGCAGCATTTCCCTAAAGACAGGCCTGCTCCGGATCCACCTGCTCTCCTCTGGCAGTTTGCTCCCTAGCCAGCTCCCCCTGGCTGAGAATGTTTCTTAAACTTTTTAAGACCGAGGAACACTAAACAATATTTTTTTTAAATGAAGAACACCAAGGATTGGGTGGGGGGGTGATTGGTTATTGAGCAAAAAAAAAAAAAAAAATCGCCTGCCCCTTTAAGGGTGGCCATTTTGAACTCTGTTCTCCGTGGCACACCTCCAACTGCCTCATTTAAAAAACACTGGCTTAAAGGCTCTGATGGGGTTTGTAACTGCTGATTGTGCTTTCCTTTTCCCCAGATGCCATGGGGCTGGGTCTACTCCGGGTCTTCCAACCTAGGAGAACTGAAGCTTTTACTGGAAGAGTCGGTCATGATCCGCCGCCTGAAATCTGACGTGCTCTCTCAGCTTCCAGCAAAGCAGCGCAAAATGGTTGTGGTGTCTCCGGACGGAATTAATTCAAAGACTAAGGCTGAGCTAGCCGCTGCTGCAAATGACATGGCCAAAGGATACACAAATGTGAGTCCAAAACTGCTAGTGTCCTGGGCTGTTGATAGTTCAGGTGCCTCTGTCTTTTCGAGACGAGTGAGCATTTTTAGCTCACTTCAAATCAGTGGAGAGCAGTTCCTAGATCCCAACATCAGCATCGAAATGTACAGCAGACGTAATCAAGGGGAACTGTTTTAAATGGCTCTTGTGGGTATCCAAGAATGCACATCAATAATCCTAACAGGTCAGCTGCCTCTTTCTTCAGTTTCTGCTCTTTCATCTTCTTGTCATGCTCTAGATCACTTTCATTTTCCACGTCCCTCTCCCTAGCTGGGTGCCTTTTATCTCTTCTTCACTCTATTTATTGTCTTTCGCTCCTCTGGATTTACTCTCCTGCCTTACCTCATTAGCCCCACTTACCTGACAAATGTAACCAACAGGGCTGTGAATCACAGTTGTAGCCAACTGGTGTGTGTGTGTGGTTGTAGCCAACTGTGTGTGTGTGTGTGTGTGTGTGTTTGTGTGAGAGAGAGAAAGCGAGAGAGAGAGCGAAAGCGAACGAACAGAGAACAGAAAATGCCTATTATAACCCGGTTAGAGACTTTTCTATGGCACTTATAAACTGGCAAACTGCTGTTTACCCTGGCAATGCCTCTGCTGGAGAGAGAGAGAGAGAGAGAAAGCGAGAGAGAGCGAAAGCGAATGAACAGAGAACAGAAAATGCCTGTTATAACCCGGTTAGAGACTTTTCTATGGCACTTGCAAACTGCTGTTTACCCTCGCAACACCTCTGCTATTTTTCCCATTTTACAGATGGGACTCTTGAGGTCTAGAGAGAGTTGAGTTATATCTATCCGGGAGCTGGAGGTGTAATTTACCCACATTAGGTCTGATCAGCCTCATGCACTGACAATAGCAGCGTCATGAGTACATACCTAGGACTTTGGTCGGGATTGTACTGTGGCGGCTAGTCTGTACCACTGCATGGGCACAGGCCACAGTGGCAAAGCTAGCGCTCGCTGAAAAGGACTCAAACTTACACCTGGAAACATACCTGCAGTGACTTGTTCGAAGTCTGTAGCTGATCAAGGTTTTGGAAAGGCTTTTATCACTGGACCCATCTGTGCTAACATTGGTTATGATGCATTTTTCTGTCTGCACAGTAAGAAAAAAGCAAATTATGGCACGATTTGGCCACCCCGGTGCTTAAATATGGCTGTTTGTAGCGCAGATAGAGCCAGCACCGCATCTGTGGGGGAAATAAAACATGGTTCGCTTGAGAGCATACTCCTTCTGGTTTATGAATTTTAATTTTGAGCAGCTGGGGGGCAAATCTACTTCTCCCAGCTCTTGGGTGGTCCCCAGTCAGAATAGTACGGGTGCAGGTAGGCAGCAGGAGCAGAATTTTGGTAGTGCATGGAAGTGCTCCGGGGTGTGTGCGTACGTGTACACGCCTCACAGAGGTAAGTGCCACGTTTTCCTCTCCATGAATGAACTCTGTTTTGTAAATACCACGGTGTAGCGGTTGTCCGCTTTTCCCCAGCACAGCGCCTGACGGCGGCATCAGGCACGCAGGAGTGGCTGACACCGTGGAGGGAAGGCAGATTTGAAACTAACGTTCGGTTTTTCCCCTCTCTGCAGAAGCAACAGGAGAAGGAAGCGCTATTCCTCTTCTATAACAGAACCGCAGAAGCCAAAATCCGTGCCGTGATGTAAGTTGGGGGGTGGTCAGAGACTCAGAGGACTGGAAGGGACCTCGAGGCCTTTCAGGCCCGTTCCCTCCACTCGAGGGAGGAGTAAATATTATCTAGACCAGTGACTCTCCACCTGTTTATCATCGTGGGCTGCGTGCTGGCCCAGAATTTATGGGAGGTCGCAGGTTGAGAACCATGGCACCCCCCCAAATAAACACCCCCAGTCCTCTATGCCCAGCGCAGTCACCCCCAGAGCAGGGCCGGGCAGCAGCTGGACTCCAGGACCAGACAGCAGCTAGAACTCAGACCCGGGGGGCCAGAAACCAGAAGCTGAGACAGAGAGGAGCCCCACGTAAAACCTGCGGATGTTGCAGTAGCCGGGCAAAACTCCTAGTTCCCAGTGCCCCTTACCCCCTCACTGTCCAGACAAACCTACCCACAGACACACTCTCCTGCCCTCTGCCCCCTGCAGCTGCTCACCAGCCCCATTCTGGCTGGTGTGCTGGTGTAGGCAGCAAGATGCCATCTCCCCCTCAACAGACCCACCAGACTGGAGTGGCAAATTTTGAATGATTTTAGCGCACAGCTGGGATGCAGTCGTGTGCTAATTGGGCCACCAGTTGAGTACCCCTGATCTAGACCATCCCTGACAGGTGTTTGGAGATTCTTATTACGATGACACAGTCCACATCCTCCCTAGGCAATTTATTCCAGTGCTTAACCTCCCTGGCAAGACGTTTTGTCGAATGTCCAACCTGAACCGCCTTGGCTGCAATTTAAGCATGCTGCTGTTTGTCCTATCCTTGGAGGCTAATCCAGTGCCTCCTAGTGACCCAGCAAATTGTATTTGACTAGTGAGAAGAGAAAAACTGTGCCTTTGAGAGAAGATGGCTGCAAAATCAAGTGCAGCTTCAAGCCAGCCAACAAAAAAAAAAATGAAAAGATTTACAACGCACAACGTTCTCTTCTTCCAGGACCAACAAAAAAAAAAAAAGATTTACTACGCACGACGTTCTCTTCTTCCAGGGTCTCTATACCTGCCCAGTTGTTTGATTATAATGGCAGAGAGGCCCAAATTGAGATGCCTAGTTCTGTATTTCAAGAATATGGATTTGGGGTTAGGACCTAGTCTTCTGGTTTGGGCTATTCTTTACTTGACATTGATGATTGAATTGGTTTTCTCCTTTTAAAGAGACATTTAAAAAAACTTTCACTGCAGCCAACGTCATTGTCAACCGAGTTTAGTCTTTCGCTTCAAGACGTCCTGATGCATTTGTTCTTCATAGAAGTTTCCTTTGTGTAGAGAGACAACAGCATGAAATAAATGCATTTTGGGTAATTGCCTTCTGGATAACATAATGTATTGCACAAGATGTGTCGAGTTAGTAATACAAATGGATGCATGTGATAGATAAATGGAAATTACTTTAAGTTGGGCCACTCTGTGTTATCAAGGATGACTCAGTGACATACGAATAAAAATAGATACATTTGTCATTCAGTGACCAGCTGTCCAGAAAAATAATGGGTGATGTGTCCCTAGGTTGTTTTTTTTATATGTGGGTATCAAAGTAATGAATCAATGCATACTATTGAAGTGCTATTTTCTGCTGACTGGTTTCCTGATTTCTGCCTCAGATGAACAATATTTCTTAGGATTTGAAAGTGATGTGTAAATGGGACAATAGAGACTTCAATAATATAACTTGGATTATTTGTTTTTAATTCAGAGAATATATCCTGGATTTACTGGAAAGTGGGAGACACAAATTCCTGGTGTTTGCTCATCACAAGACAGTACTAAATGCAATAAGCAAAGAGCTGGAGAAAACAGTAAGTTCTTAAATCAGGTTCCTGTTAATTTTTTTTATTCTTCCAACAGCAAAGCTCCTGAGAGTTCTGGCAAGTCTCCTACTGTGTGGAAGTTGGTGACACAGATATCGCTCCAAGGTGCCCCCTGACCATGATACCTGAGCCTCCAAAATGAGACAGTCTGAGTGATGCACATTCTGTGTACATGAGATCTATTGCTGCAGATGTTTCTTGCTGTTTACCACCACTGGAGTGATGTGTGTACGGCGCTGTTTTAGTACCGAATGTCGACACTGCCGCATTTCACGCCTCTTAGGAGAAGGTGGCGTGAAGGCAAAGGCAACCCCAGCTATACCTGCATTTCTTTAGTTTCTTGGGCCTGTGTAGCTGTGATTTTTTTCGCTTGCGTAGTGCTGCATAGTGGTCTTTCTCCTGTTTCTGTGTTGAGCAGAGGTCAACTTTCCATGCCAGTCTCATCTGATTTATCAGAGTCTCCAAGTTCATGAGGTGGGCTGTGAGCAATGTTCCCTCTAATCTTTTTCCGTCCATGTGCAGATTTTTTTCCATCCATGTGGGGAATAATTTTTTATGTGCACTGAGGCAGGTGCAAATGTGCACCACCAAGAGAAATACAAAACCTAAATGTGGGCACTCTGCTGAACAGCTGGGCAACACTGGAATCTCTTCTGAGTCTCTGCAGCCTTGTCGCTTCCCCAGTCACAAACCCAGATGAGGGGGAGGAAATTCTCTAAAACTTGGGTAAATAAAGACCCGCTAACGATTTTTTTCTCCACCGCTCTCTCCCCCTCCCAGCACGTGGGGTACATTCGCATTGATGGCTCCACATCTTCTGCCGAGCGCCAGTCTCTGTGCCAGAAGTTCCAGTTCTCCGAGAAGCACTCTGTGGCTGTCTTGTCCCTCACTGCTGCCAACACGGGGCTGACGCTTTCTTCAGCCGACTTGGTGGTGTTCGCGGAGCTGTTCTGGAACCCTGGGGTAAGGAGCCGAAGGTGGCAGTGTGACTTGAAGTGGTGCGCTCCGGCGGAGAGAGCGCTGGGTCGGGACTCAGGAGACCTGGGGAAGTTGTGTCGCCGCTCGCTACCTCAGTTTCCCCATCTGTAAAATGGGGCTATTGATGCTACCCTTTGCTGGGAAGTGCTCCAAGGTGACACAGATTATTGTTTCCTGTCTCTGAAGCCCAGCCCTCCTGTCCGGGATCATGAGAACCGCTGTCGAGCAGCTGGTTGCTTTGAACGGGCCCTTCTTCAGTCGTGTCCTTCTTCCCCCTCTCTGATTGTCCATCGGATGCCACTGGCCCCGGCATTTTGCTCCAGGCCTATCTACTCGGGGGTGGAGGGGGAGGGGAGGGGAGAGTCTGCAGCCAATAGCAAATAAGTCCGTGGTAAAGAGGTGGTCTGAGCTCACGCCGCAGATTCCAGGCCCTGTCTCTCTAGGTTTGCAGGTTCATGCGGCTTCCATGTTTTACTAGGTCTTGATTTAGACTCCTGGGACCTGATCCTGGAAGTAACTTCACTCCCCTGGATTTCAGTGGGCATAAGGGTGCATGCCGCAGGTCCGGCTCCTAGGCAGCACCGCCCCTGCCTGAGCAAATCCTTATCGGATAGTCGAGTCGACTCGTCGCTCCTCTCCCCACCCCCCGCCTTGATCAGGTAGAGGCAGCAAAGGAGGGGAAAGAGGGAGTACTTCAAAGCAGCAGCGGCGCATGGAGCCTGAGGTTGGCTGGGGACTCCCTAGCTGACCCTGTGCTCTGTGCGGCATTTCTACAGAATCCAGAGTCACCTGGCGAGTCCCCTGCTAACCCCAGGCTCCATGTGGGCACTTCCCCTTTGAAATGCACAAGAGCCCCTGCTGTTTGCTTTTTGGACTGCTGCTGCACATTGCCTGGCTGTTTTCAGAGAACTAGCCACAAGGACTCCAAGATCTCTCTCGTGAGTCCTTAGAGCTAAATGAGTCCCCATCATTTTGTATGTGTAGTTGGGATTATTTTTTGCAGTGTGCAGTACTTTGTGCCAGTTGTCTGTCTGTCTCTCTCTCTCACACTCACACTCACACACGGAGTCTCTCTCTCTCTCATCTGATAATGCAGGAACTGAGTGAAGGGAATTCTTTTAGCAGCTGATTGTTTAAAGGGCATCAGAGAAAGTGCCCTAGAGGCAGGTAAATGTTTGGGGTTCAGGTGCTGGCCTGGGATCTCAACTCAGATTCTTGCTTTGTCACAGATTTCCTGCATGTCCGGAGGCAAGTTGGTTCATCTCTCTGTCTCCTCAGTTCCTCTTGTAGAAAAGGGGGGGAATAGCCCTTCCATCCTCCTGTCCATTGGGCACTTGTCTGTTTAGGTTATAAATTCATAGGGGGAGGGGCCAGGCTGGGCCTGCGCTGGGCCCTGATCTCAGCAGGGCATGCCTGGTGCCAGTAGGGTATAATTAGGGGTCGTTAAGCGTCAGAAACAAAGTCCCTATTTCCTGGGGCCGGTTTTGTAAATCCTTGTGTGTTACCCTGTTCGTTGCTTTCTCAGGTTTTGATTCAAGCAGAAGATCGGGCGCATCGAATTGGCCAAACCAGTTCTGTTGACATTCACTACCTGGTGGCGAAAGGCACGGCTGATGACTACTTATGGTAGGGAGTGGCATATGCTCTGTCCAGCTGTTCATCTGTCTCTTTGACTTCTCCATGCTGGTACCCTCCTCGGTACATTGGGGGGAGGCAGTAACGTGCTCTCGGGGTGCTGAGAGAGTGAGGCTTGTGACATGCTCGGTTTGGAGCGAGGCTTTCTAAAGGGCAAAGTCTTATTAAGGGGACGAGCCAGTAAAACAGACGTGTATCACCTTCGTTAGCGCTTGGCTTGGAAACCTCCAAGGAAAGGCCGTTGGGTGGCTCATTCTGAGGGTGCATCTCCACTGCACCGTTATTTTGAGATAACGAGAGTGATTTCGAAATAACAGTGCACGCGTCTACACAGCCATTCTGTTATTTCGAAATAACGGCTTATTCCAAAATCTGTAAACCTCATTCTATGAGGAATAACACCTGTTCCAAAATAGCTATTGTAGGCACTCCACTGATGCTATTTTGAAATAGACCCTTCCCAGGGCCATTGTAAGTTATGCCTCCCCAGTGCCTCTAAATCGAGATAGGCTTCCCTAACATAGATGCGCTGCCTCGGACTCATTTTGAGGCTTCCCTGCAGTGTCAAATTAGTATGTTGAAATAAGATGCACCCAGAGTGGTCAGCAGAGATCTGGCCCATACAACTGCCTGCGTCCTGAGTTGCTGGGCACACAGAGGAAGGCCGATCTGCTGTCTCCCATGTCGCTCCTCAGCAAAGCCACCTCACCAGCTCACAAAGAAGCATTGAAGTGTCCCGGCGGGAACACAGTTCATCCCGCTTTGGCTTGTAGGAGGGTTGGTGGGATGAAGGGCTCACGAGGATTCTGGGAGTACAGTGTGATGGGAAGGGAATCTGCAATCGAGGGAGGAAAACGATCCACCAGCTGGTACTTGGTCCGAAATTATATCTTTCCATTAGCTCATCAGCAAGAGTAAATGAGCTGAAGTGAACTTCTACAGTTCCCAGAATATCATGATTGCAAATAATTACAGCCTTGCATCACAAGGAACTGGAAACTGACATGTCGCCCACATTTCAAGGAACGCTAATGACAGTAATTTGGCTTTTTATTTGTACAGTGCCGTCCATGCAATCGCTCATGCTTGACTGGAAGGAAACGTGCTTTTCAGAGGAGGGCATACTTATCCTTTCGCTCGTCCTCCCTCTCATGCCCACTCCGGGGGATTGGGGGTCATTTTATTAATGAAGGGTCATTAGTTGTGCGTTGGTGTTCGCTTCTTCCTAGTTTCCTGTCATGTGCTGCAAATCCTAGGACTGGGAAATAGAAACGGTCACTCTGGTTCCACCCTATGGAGCCAATTTCTCACTTGGAACTTAACACCCTCCAAATATTTGTCAGTTGCAATCACATCCTCTTTCCCCTTAGTTCAGCTGCCCATGTGTAGCTCTTCCCCTTTACATCCAGGTCATTCCCGTTTAGCCTCTCTAATCCAGGCTACTGCTTTTTTTTCCCCTCTGAATTCCTCTATTTACAATCTCTGGCCCTGAGGTGCCCAAAACTTAACACAGCGTCCTAGGGGTGTGCATACAAACAGAAAATGGCCTAGTGAAATTGACGTGGGTTACTAGGACTGGCTCTGCTAGCATGGTGCCTGTCCTAAGATGAAAGGGCTGGTGCGTGTCAATACTCCAAGATGGTAGTTTTTCATTGGCCCATGGTAAATGACACCACAAAACCAAGGATACGTCTGAGATGCCCCAACGATGTTTTGATCCGCTGGAAAGACGGCCAAAACTTCCTCGTATACTTCCACCACAAGCTCAACCGCCACACACTGTCTGTCAGACTCTCGCTAGAACCCTCCCCCATCAGCATCAATTTCCCAAGCACCATGATCGGCTTCAGCTATGGAATCCTACGGACAGCTGTATTCAAGAATCCCACAGAACCGGTACCCGCCCCTAGGACACCAAGACCTCTGTTATCCACAGCTAGGCACTCCTATACCACAGATGTTCCCAGAAGAGAGTCTGTCGAAAGATCCTTTAGAAAAAGCTTCTTTCGAAAAAGAGCATCTAGACTACAATCAGTACTTTCGGAAAAGCAAGCTGCTGTTTCGAAAGAGAGCACCCAGGCAGTCTGGATGGTCTCCTTTGAAAAAGCACAGTTTGCATGGAATAGCGCCTTTTGTCGAAAGTACTTTCGAGGAAAAAAAAGGCATTATTCCTCGTAAAATGAGGTTTACTGCCGTCGACAAAACTGCCGCGTTCTGTTGACTTACTGTCAACAGAACGCGGTGGTAGTGTAGACGCGGGTCTAGTTTCGTGGACAAAAGCCAACTTTTGTGGACAAAACCCTGTAGTCTAGACACACCCTGAGAGACACACCTTGACTCACTTAAAATGGACTGTTACAAGTAAGGATATGCCACCGGAGAAATAGATCTCGTCATGGAACGGACCACCCCAGCGCTCTGAGAATACCCGCTTCAGTATACGGGGGGAACCCTCCTCTTGCCCACCCCTTACCACATATCACCCCACGGTGGCACCCATATGGGGCATTATTAAACAATTACAACTCCTCCACGATGGGAGGAAAGACATTTTTTGAAAAGAAGTTTTTTGAAACTTCCTCTGCTGGCCTTGAGACAGTACCTCAACCTCACCAAGCTCCTCCTCAGAAGCAAGCTACCCTCAGGCCATGGGTTACCCCCCCAAAGTGGCCCCAAATCCTGCTAGCATCAATGCAAAACCTTCAGCCATATCTCCACTGCTACAGCGATTGACATTCCCAACACAAACCGTGCAAACCGTGTGGGTCCTACACATGCCTTTCACATTATTGTGTAAAAACTTAAAAAAATAACAAGTAGTCTAGCAGCACCTTAAAGACTAACAAAACATGTAGATGGTATCGTGAGCTTTCGTGGGCACAACCCACTTCTTCAGATGACAGGAAGCTCACGATACCATCTACGTGTTTTGTTAGTCTTTAAGGTGCTGCTAGACGATTCGTTGTTTTTTACGTTTTTCCAGTTACAAGCTAACTCAGCTCCCCCTCTGAAGCTTTTGAACATTATTGTGTGTATCTCAACTATGTGGGTGAAACCAGACACTCACTGGGCACTCAAATGAACTTGCAGGAGGAAAATGATAAAAGGCGAAACTTCCATAGCACCCAGAGGCAAGTGCTTTTCTTCACAAAACCATCACTCGGTATCAAACCTCTCAGTCCTTCTCCTCAAACATAAGAACATAAGAACGGCCGTACTGGGTCAGACCAAAGGTCCATCTAGCCCAGTATCCTGTCTACCGACAGTGGCCAGCACCAGGTACCCCAGAGAGGGTGAACCGAAGACAATGATCAAGCAATTTGTCTCCTGCCATCCCTCTCCAGCCTCTGACAAACAGAGGCCAAGGACACCATTTTATCCCCTGGCTAATAGCCTTTTATGGACCTAACCTCCATGAACCTATCCAGCTTCTCTTTAAACTCTATTATAGTCCTAGCCCTCACCGCCTCCTCTGGCAAGGAGTTCCACAGGTTGACAACACGCTGTGTGAAGAAGAACTTCCTTTTATTAGTTTTAAACCTGCTACCCATTAATTTAATTTGGTGTCCTCTAGTTCTTCTATTATGGGAACCAATAAATAACTTTTCTTTATCGGCCCTCTCCACACTACTCATGATTTTATAGACCTCTATCATATCCCCCCTCAGTCTTCTCTTTTCTAAACTGAAAAGTCCCAGTCTCAGTATCAAGGAAACTTGATAACTCTGCTTGGCACTGAAACACACACAAAGACATTGGACTTTTGGCTCATATAACAGTCTGTCACCTACTATCTCGCCTTTGTTTTATGATTGGAGAGGTGTTAACTGCCCACCTCACCTTGAATTTACCTGTTGATTACTTGATAACTCTGCTTGGCACTGAAACGCACACAAAGACAGTTCCCCCCCTTGTGTTTAGCTGTGACACTGAGGTTTTGTTCATACTTAAAAATGTATGCCTTAAATTGAGTGTGGCCCAGCACTCTGTGTGAACCCCCTCCACAAGGGGAGTAGCTAACAGCGCTGGGAGCTGCCTGGTACACGCTGGCGCTTAACAGCGCTGTAACTTGTTGTGCTGGAAGCTGCTGCCCACCTCACCTTGAATTTACCTGTTGATTTACCTGTTCCCCCCCTTGTGTTTAGCTATGATACTGACGCTTTGTTCACACTTAAAAATGTATGCCTTAAATTGAGTGTGGCCCAGCACTCTGTGTGAACCCCCTCCACAAGGGGAGTAGCTAACAGCGCTGGGAGCTGCCTGGTACACACTGGTGCTTAACAGCGCTGTAACTTGTGGTGCTGGAAGCTACCCCTGCTGCACTTTAAGCCCATTACTCCTTGTCCTGTCCTCAGAAACCAAGAGGAACAAGTTTTCTCCTTCCTCCTTGTGACACCCTTTTAGATATTTGAAAACCGCTATCATGTCCCCCCTTAAAGATGAAAGAGATCACCCTCCCTCTCCTCCCCCCTTGCCTCTCCTGACAAAAGATTCTGTATTCTGCTACCAAGAGAGGAGCCTGTGACATCTTAAAGGTTCCCACTTGCCTTGCGGGTGAGATTTGGTGCTGCTTGTCTTCCCCTAGGCCCATGATTCAAGAGAAGATAAGAGTGCTGGGTGAAGCTGGTCTTTCTGAAGCCAGTTTCTCTGAAACCGCGGAAGCCACTAATTACTTCTACAAGGTAAGTGATGTGAAAGTAGGACAGGCCTTACAGGATGGGGCACTGTTGACCGAAGATACTCTGTGAACAGCGTAGCTGTAAATGACATTCCTTAGGTCGAGGTGCCAGGGGGTCTCCACTGCAAAAACTCTCCTGTCGGCTTCCCTTTTACTACTAGTTCCTGTGGAGTACCGGAGTCAATGAGAGCCATCGGTGGTTAATTTAGTGGGTCTTTACTAGACCTGCTAAATCGATCCCTGGGGGAATCAATTGCCAGAGCACTGATTTCCTGGTAGGTGAAGACCTGCCCTGAGATGTTAACCGGAGGCGTTAAACTGACCAAACGTGCTCGAGTGAGCTGTTAACAGAGGAGGAGAGCTGGCCCCAGTTCTGCCTTCAGTGCAGGGCACCTTCCTCCCTGAGGTGTGCTGGAATGGACCCTCCATGCAAAGAGCCCAGTCTTGTGATGCGGAAGGTGGCCCTGGTGCCTCTGCCTCACCATTTCCTCAGGCCCCTCTAGCCCTGTGGGGATTTCGCCCTGTGGGAGGGAACCACACGGGAAAGAGGGTGGAGTCAGGGCAGCCATGTTGTCCCCCAACTGTCACTCAGCAGGCTTTGTGCTCATAATGTACATACAGCTCTAGGCTCTGTTACCATCTGCTGAGCCCGCATTCCCTGGGAGACCAAGCACAGCCCTGACCAATGGAGTCCTTGCTGGAGCTGCCAGGGACCAGAGCCGGCAGGGAGCACAGGACCTCCATGTGTGTATATGCCTGGCCTCTTGCCGCTCCTCACAGGGATCCGTGAGAGCCGCCCCTTAGCTTTCACTGTGAGGAAATCTCCATGAGGAAATGCTTAGAGACATTTCCATGGGAAAAGCTCCCCCTAAATGTTGCGGCTCAACCCCTTCCTTTCCCTGCACCTCTGAGAAAATAGGGGCATGCGGCTTCGTTGCAGAGGGCACAGCAGTCGAGATGAGGTCAGGTGAGTCCCTGCCGGTCTCGCCCAGGCCTGTCGCACGCTAGAATTCCATTCTCCATGGGTCAGGGGAGCCGTGAGGGAAACCAGAGCTGGGAGCGAATGATCGTCGCCAGCGCTTTGGCTTGCTTGTTGCGACCCTGTGTGCGGAACCTCTCTGCTCTCGTTTCACAGCAAGATCCGAAGCAGCAGACCATTTACGACCTTTTCCAGAGGACCTTATCGGAACAGGGAGACGACCTCGACGAAGCTTTGCTCGTGGAGGCGGTCGACGCTTGCCAGGCGTCTGAGCCCAGGAGTGCGGGAGTGGACCCCTCCTCGACGAGTCCATGTAAGAAACGGCGTCTGGAAGATTTTTTTACCAGACGATAACCAGAAAGGAAGAGACACTTAAAAGATCTTTATTTATGTTTTAAAAAACTCCACAGAATCATTGTATTATTTTGAGTTTCCAAAAATAAAACACATGAATGGGTTTGAGAAGATTTTCTCTTATTTCTGTAACTTGTTCATCCCTCCCCCCCAAAAAAGGGCGGAAGGAGGAGGTACGTGTCTGGGTGAACGAATGGAGGGCGCAGTGTCCCAAGTCCTGAATCCTAACCCTGCCTTTACCAATGACTCACAATAGCCTTCGGCAAGGAATGTCACTTCTGGGCCTCAGTTTCCCCACCTGTTTGCTTTGCAAATAATGCTCACCTGTTCCCATTGCAGGAGTGTCACATGGAGGAACTAGCAAATGGGTACAGGCTGCCTTGAACAGTGAGAGAGCCAAATCAAGGCAAAATATTGCCACCCCAAAGACCTTCACCCGCTACTGATATATACAAGAGCCAATTCCCCCGCCAGGCAGCTACTGCTGAGATGGTAGGGGGCAGCTTAGCAGCAGTCTGGGGCACAACAGAGCAGAGATGAGGATTTTGGATACTGGAGTAGTTCTGGGGGATGTACGTGTATAAAACCAGTAACGGTGTAACCAATCAAAATTCTGTTACCTGGGAAGGGTGCTGTAAAATTCCCGGCTCCTGGCCCTGCGCTCCCTAGCAGAGTTGAACCGTTAACAGGAAACCCATAAGCATCAGCTTCTGGGTTAACCAGTGAACTGGTTAAACTCGCATCCTTAGTAGGTCTCTAGATCTGCAACAAGTGAAGAGGATCATTACCATCAGGACCTTGACCCCACGTTTTCCGAATGGCCTGGGCTAACAGGTAAGCCTATATGACCATCTATAGCAGCAGAGGGCCACCTGCGGCCCGTTGGGACTCTGTATGTGGCCCACAAGACATTTTGCTTATCGCTGCTCACACGCAGGGTTGCCACATTCTGCTGGTTTTTGTCCGTGTCGGGTTTTTTCCCCTACCAGTGAAGCGACACGCACTTACAGTAATCGTACGTGGGGGGAGGACATGCTGATAACACACAGCATTGACCATGAGAGCCGTTTGGTCCCTCTGCCTCCCACCAAAGTGCTGCTCCTGTTCAACCTGCACGTTCTAAGCACAATTAGCAAAACTATCTTATGCCGGGAGCCTGTCTTGGCTACGACAACCTTGTATACCACTGAGATGGAGGAGGGTCACTCATGTGGCCTGCTCACTAGCCCAGGTTGTCCATTGCTGATCGACCTGCAGTTACTGCACACCACAGTTATTAAATCACATCCTGAAGACCCCCATGCAGTAAGCTTAGAAAGTGATGTGTCTACCTTGGGATGGAGAAGGACTGAAGTGATCCAACCAAGATTTGAATCCGTGACTACCATGGATTTGCCATAGCCTCTTGTTAAGCTTCCTTCCGCCCCCATGTTTTCTCTCCACTGTGTTTGGTTTTGATTGACGTGCCAACTGAGGCTCAAAATCATCTCTGCCATCCAGAGACACGTACGGAAATGCTTGTATGCGCTCTCGCTCATTTACAGAAGAAACCACACTTCAGGAAACAGGCTTCAGACCAGGGACTGGCAATAATTTTTGACGGGGCCACTTCAGACATTTTTGAAGTGGCCCCGGGCCACCCCGAAAAGGGCGGGACCTCAGGAGGAAAGGGGGCCAGGACACTTCCTGCTTGCCCACCCACAGAGCCTGATTGGCGTGGGGGTGGGGGAGTGCATGACGTCTCCTCCTGCCCTGCCCCCATCCTGCAAGGAACTTGGGGCACTTAGAAGTGCCTGGCCCCTCGCAGGGTGGGAAGAGACGTTGCACACTCCCCACCAGATCCTGACTGGCCTGGGGGTGGAGGAGCGGCAGGGCCTCCGCGGGCCGGATCAACTCACTTGGGCAGGCTGGATCCGGCCTGTTGAGGCCCTTTTGCCCACCTCTGCTTCAGACTCAGCCCTTTGCATGAAGAGAAATTGATTCCACAGTTCTCTTATGTGCTCTGTGCACCTGCTGCTGCTTTGATTTGGAGTCTTGTCTCACATCTGCGCCTGGAGGTCTTAGAAGTACCCGAGCCAGTAGAAGCATTAGCATTTATTTAAATTATTTACAGTAGTTGCCGCTCTGATCTCTTTGGTGAACAATTCATCACCTTTAAGTGCTTTAGCTCTGATAAGGGACATTTGCTTATAGCCGGGGTGTCCAATCCATTCTGAAGCAGTGGTTACTGCTATAGCGAACTAGCCACGTTCTTCTGAAAATGTAAATCATGTTGTGAGCCAACTAGCCACCCTCAACCAGCCAAATAGCCACATGGGGCTAGCGGCCAGCCTGTTGGACACCCCGGGCTTCTAGGCTAGGTGCCAACCACTCCTTTGATGGGCATTTTGTATCCCTCTAAGACTGCTATTATATTGTCCCCTTTAGGACCCGTAATTCGCTGCCATTGCAGTGCCACTGTGGAGTGGTGGAGGTTTTAGTGGAGAAAGGCCTGTCGGGCGTCTGTGCCACCCAACTCTGCTCTGACTACAGTTAGATGGCACAGTGGTGTACCCTCCCCTGTTGTTACTCTGCTGCAGTGGCGGTGACTTACGGATCTTGAGCGAATCTGCCAGACTACAGGAGGTCAAGATCGTCTAGCAACATCACCCACACTGCCACTGCTTACTGGGCTCTGAGAAGACATGTAGGGGTTAATTGGAGCTAAAGAACAACCCAGACACTGAGGCTGCATCTAGACTAGCATGATTTTCCGGAAATGCTTTTAACGGAAAAGTTTTCCATTAAAAGCATTTTCGGAACAGAGCATCTAGATTGGCACGGATGCTTTTCCGCAAAGGCACTTTTTGTGGAAAAGCGTCCGTGCCAATCTAGATGCGCTTTTTCGCAAAAAAGCCCCAATCACCATTTTCGCGATCGGGGCTTTTTTGCGGAAAACAAATCTGAGCTGTCTACACTGGCCCTTTTGTGCAAAAGCGACTTTTGCCTGAACGGGAGCAGAACAGTATTTCCACAAGAACGCTGACAATCTTACATTAGATCGTCAGTGCTCTTGCGGAAATTCAAGTGGCCAGTGTAGACAGCTAGCAAGTTTTTCTGGAAAAGCTGGCCAGTCTAGACACAGCCTGAGAGCCTGGACTGGTGGCTGTAAACAAACTTTATGGGACTGTAGGAAACTTGGCCCCCAGAGGTTGCAGACGAGCATGTGCTGGACTAGAGAGGCTCCACCTGTAGAAACTGCCCAGGATTTGGCTGGGCATGTGTAATTGACAGTGTGTTATGTAAGAATGAATAGGAGTCCGTTGTATGAATTTTCCACGGTGACAGTACATCTCCCAGTAACCATCTGTGGAGAAAGGAACAAACTCCATTCTTACACTTTGCCTCTCACTGCTGCTGTTTAGCCAGGGTCCTTAGCTGCAGATGATTACCAGACAATACTTAAAAGCATTATTGACACCAAAGCAAGAGACTTCTGCCCTGTGAACACAATCACAATGCCAATGCTTTCCCTAATTAAGGTTTTGTCGCATAATTGACTGCAAATAGCAGCCCATAAGTGTGAAAATGTCCTACAAGATTCATATGCATCTGGTCCAGAGCCTCAGTGATTCATGCATGGCTATGAAAAACGAGTTCTCACTTGTAGGCTGCAGATTGAAAGGATCGCAGGAGGAAAATGAGAGAGGAGAAAAGTCCAACTGTGGACGTTCGATCGAAAGAGCCACATGCAGGAGACTATTGTCCAGCCCTTTGTAGGTGCCTACCTGCACAAGCCTCTCGATCAGTGTTTCTTAAACATTTTGAGACCACAGAACACCAAACAATAATTCTTTTTAATGCGGAAACCTATGCTCAGTGGTTTGAGCATTGGCCTGCTAAACCCAGGGTTGTGAGTTCAATCCTTGCAGAGGCCATTTAGGGATTTGGGGCAAAAATTTGTCAGGGATGGTACTTGGTCCTGCTGTGAAGGCAGGGGACTGGACTCGATGACCTTTCAAGGTCCCTTCCAGTCCTAGGAGATAGGCAATCTCCATTTATTTATTTATTTAATTTATGAATATTTTCTTAAAAAAAAAAAAAAAAAGTCAGACAAAACAAGACAAAAACAAAGAAGAGGTCGCGGCACACCTGCGAGTTGTTCATGGAACACCAGTGTCCGCAGAACATAGTTTAAGAAACGCTGTTCTAGATGACATTGGTGGATGTCTCTCCCCAATGGCTCAACAGCTTGCAGCTAACCCTTTACAGACGGTGCTAACCTGTGGCCATTTGAAAGAGGGTTGTATTCAGTGGGCTGCAGGAAGCAGTGAAAGGGATGGGGAGAGGCTTCATGCACAAGTCTTATCTTCTCTGAGGAATGATTCTCTTCCTCCCGTCAGTGCGAGGAGCAGGAGCAGCAAATAGTCGCCGTCTGAAATCTGCGTCTTTGGACAATTCTGCCTCCCATCAAAATCTCTGTTTACTCTTATCTCCATGCTGCTAAATCTCCAGTTCCACGCAAGGACATCCGGTATACTCTTGCTCTGGAATGGGGCTCATAAAATCACAGCTGGATCTCAGCAGAGTCGCTGAGACTTTTCAAGAACATTTGACGTTCGCGTTGCCCTTTCAAGCGTAAAAAGAGAAGAAAATCTTCCCCTGGAGAAAAGTGCTTTTAACGATTTAGTCAAGATTGCTCGTTGCTGGTACACAGCCTGTTTATACCCTCCAGGTCCTCAGAAAAGGTCCATCTACAGTGGAAGGTGGGGTGAGATCTTGCACAAGTTTGCATCCGACTGTAGCCACGGAGTATGTGCCTCAGATCCCCAATGAGTACCGTAAATTAGCGAATATAACATACGTCCAAGTATAACATGCATTCATATTACCCACAGTTTTTCTATCGTGTGTAAAAAAATGTTAGAAAACCCGCAGACGTACATAAACTGCAGAGACTTCTGCCGCCTTCATAAAAGAATCTGGCGGTCTTTGATGTGGTTGCCATGTGCCAGCTATCAAGATTGAAGATTGCGACATCATGCAGCCCGATAATACTGGGTCTTGTTATTTTATTTTAGTAAACACAACAACATTGCCGCTCTTATTCAATTATTATTAAATCGAAGATG